AGGATAACTTAAAGTATCTAATAGTTTCCTTACCAAGCGTCCATCAAATGAAGTGGCGCCGCGTCACAATCCCGATAATTACTGACACATTATCACCCGTCACTCGTTCTTCAAAGCTAGCCCCGCCTGAAAAGGTTCAGGTAGAGTTCGAGAGCTCTCGGATGATTTTAGCGCATTGTGGGGAATTCACCTGAGAGAGGTTTTCTAGGTCAGAAGAGAGATCACGATTGGATGAAGGCTCAGGTTGTCCCTTTTCCCTTATTAGAGTGAATATATATCTACCGAGCTAGGGTTTCCCAAGATTATGGCTGCTGCATTTCATACTTAGCAAAAGACTGTAAAAGCTGACATTTGACGTTGCTTACATGCAATCGTTCATAAGACACTACTCGTTGTTTACTTTAGGCGTGCATTTTGTCTGCAATCGTGTCGACGATGGGTTTGAGGAGGAAGAGAGATCCTTATAGCTATATTAACGGATAAATCCAAACCCGTAAAAACTGAAACGATTCCTGCGAATAAATACGTCAAGCTTCGCTGTGTTGCTTCACAGAGGGTGATGACTTTTTCTTCGTTTGGTTCGCACGTTCTGCAGACATAAAGGTGCTACTAAAGTTTTACTGACAAGTTTCAGGTTTTGAGTGATTAGAAGATCATGATAACAGTCTTATCTACGTGATTCTGATCGCTCACGAAGAGTTGGAACCAATTTGTAAAATGGAAAATCAAAAGTCCTCAGACTAACTTCATGAAGGGTCGCATCGTCGAACAGGGCTGAAGGGAAAATCAATTGTAGCAATTTGTAGAATGAATAGTTGCGCAAACAATACCTTATATACGGTTCAAAAGGGTAACTAATGGGCACCAAAAGATGAAGTTTAGGCATTCATCAATGGCGTTTTTGGGATGCCTCAATGCCGGTTCACTGTTACGCAATCGATCACTATTTGGGAAAGTGCCTGAAGTGTTCCTTTTTCAGGTGATCGGGCCAGTGTTATGAACAGCTACCTGGTCTAGCCATGGGGCAACGATTGGCGTCTGTACAGACTAGCGTTAATATCGATAGTTGAGAAGTTCGTACTGGACACTGGACCGTGGTACGATCCATATTACCGCTGCATCGATGACTCTCTCGTCATATATTCGACTCAGGAAGAAATGGACATATACGATCTCCTGAACAAGTAGTAAGAGAACACCAAAATAAGAAAAGCCTTTGGAGGATTGGCTACGATGTTGAATGTCCAAGTTCAGCTTCAACGCAACTCAGTAGAAATCATATGTTACCACGAGCCAAGCTGCAAGAACATAATTGGTGTTCGGTGTTCAAACAAGGTTCCATCCTCGGAGCTCAAGGAGTTACATAGCCCAAAACATTGCCTTGTTGAATACATGTCGGTTCCACGAGGGAAGTTGGCGTACCCGTGTGCCGAAGTTCTGACTTGGTCCTAGACTCCTCTAGACTCCTTACGGAATGAGGGCACCACGGCCAACTATTGCGGTTACTGGCTATGAGGGCATCTTCGTTGAACTCACTTTCATTGCAGTTCGGGAGTCGGTATTTTTATNAAATAAATAAATAAATAAATAAATAAATAAATAAATAAATAAATAAATAAATAAATAAATAAATAAATATCCGTGCTCCGGGCAAATGCGAAAGGGAAACGCGGAACTATCAAACTATGCCAACAGCCCACGAAAGAGTACTAGCTGACTTCTGTTTGTCTTCAAATTCCGAGCTAGTGAGCAGATCTGTTCTGTCATTCGTGCATCAGTGTGACCTTCAAAACGAAGTATTGTCGAAGTAACCCCACACACTTTTAGAGGCATCTCACTCACAATCGACTCAATAATACCGTATGCGACAGCACTAATTGTGTGTTATGAACTCATAAAAAAGAGGGTGACTGCATTAGATGTGAGTGATCTACTCAATATGCTGTAAAAAATCCTAGAAAGGAGTACATAAGAGAAAAACGGCTTCCTATGTATGACTTGACTTCTGGATGGCGAGGTAGATCATAAATGCATACGCTCTATGGAGGTCATAGGGTCTTATACCACGAGGGTTCATCATTTGGCGTTTGCGTGCCCATATTAGGCTGGAATTCGGCGCATAAAACGCGGGAAGCACTTTGTATCATTGCTAATGATCTTCAAATGAACAGGGAGGAGGATTGTATGGTCCTAACCCGTATCCTCCACCTTTATAACTTCTGGACGGGAGGTCAAAGGGAGGTACTACTGGTCACCACGTACTGAAGGTGTATGGGGGTGCCTGTCTAAACGGCGTATTTAGAGGTGAGCAATCCCATGCCTCTCGATCAGTATCTTTAAAACTCTTTTAGATCAGTGGAAGATTCCTGAAGTTTTTTGTTAAGGCGTTTGAACGAATGTTGAGCTTTATTAAAAAAATCAGCTTACCTGACCTCTTGTGCCCAGAGTGGTGGATGGTTGGCCCAGACAGAGAGCATTTTCAAATTTCGGGAATTCTTGGAATAGTTGCTCGAATGTTACAGCCACGCGCACAGAATAGTTTGAGTACATCAAAGAATCGAATACGTGCTATCAAAAAATGATAAGGAACTAAACGAACTAAACCTTTCGTACCCGTCATGGTAAAATTGGCTTGGCATCCTGGCTTGGCACGGTGTCCGAGAACGTATGTATATACAAACCGAAAAGCGTGTGCAGGGGACCCCAGGTTTCTGCGCCTCACTGCAATTTCGGTGAGATCCATTCAGCATGATTTTAGACGACGTAACTGCGGTAGGCAGGAAGTTAGCCAGGAGGTTCCGCAGTTACCGAGTTACCAATCAATGCTTCAGAGAGATGTTTTATCTAAAAGAAGAGAAGCAGGTGGTAATGGAAAGACGAAGTGTACCACATGATGCTGCATATGCGAGGTTAAACGAAAGAGGGAACGGTAAAAACGACAATGAAGGCTATGAAAGACCCGGACGATGTACATGTCGCACGGAGAAACGGAATGCTGATGCAACCAAACCCAGTCCTATTTGGTTGCTGCTAGAATGACAAACAAATATACAGATCTCACCAAATACAAAAATCGGTTTAAAAGAAACATCGATGGTGTGCCATTTGCTAAAATGCATTTTCAGGTTTACCTGGATCGAAAGACGGTATCAGTGCTTTCTCTGACATTACAAGCTGTATCCATGATGTGCGCTCTATATTTACCAGGCAAGTGAATTATGAGAGGCAACCTCGAGATAAAAGAGATGAAGTTTTCAAAACCTTTTCGAATAGTACGGTGGTCGAGGGGTTCTGGGACACGAATTGACATTTATCGTCGTTTCTCTGTAGGAACCTTTGGACCATCACCACATATTAGAACAACTCAGAGTTACCAACAATAGTAGTTGACCAGGTTCCCAAGAGCTTCTTCTATAAATCATGTCCGAACCATCGAGGAATCAACCTTAAGCGATTGCTTTCTACTGAAGGTGCCGTGGCGTAAGCGAAGAAGATCTTGTCAATCAAGCCATCCTTAGTCATTTACTTGCATTCAATTGGAGTTACTACGCTCAACAACGATCCTACTGTAGACGATAAATTGCTTTGAAGATGACCTACTTTTTATCAAAGTATTATAAAAGAG